CGATACAAGTTAAGTTGTAAAATAATTGACCACCACAGATTTACAAAATACCAGACATAATTTCGATAATGTAAAATAACAACCGATATAAGTTAAGTTATAAAATGATAGATTAGAGATTCCCGTTGCCGTTCACTCTGTAGCTGCTCCTAGAACCAAGCTGCTCCCACGAGATCCGATACGCAAAAAAGTCCCAAAAAAAGCGATATCCTTACTATCAGAAAGTGTAGGTGAAGTGATTAAAATAAATAAAAATTGCGTATTCAGGTTTGTGAGAGACGAGTTTCTATTGTGAGAATGATTCAACAACAGAAGGATTACATTCAACCTCTCAAATACTGAACTAATGAGATAATTTATTCATAAAATTTCGTCAAATTCTGTATGTAGAGTATCGATTATTTCAACGTCCCTTATCGTTTCGAGATGCCCCTGATGACACGAATTATTTAAAAACCTATACTTGTCTGATAGAAATAATAATAGATTACCTGTCATAACAATCTTCCTATAATTATTAAAAAATTACATACTATTGAATTGTGAATCATTCATAAATAATATTTTTTCATATTATTTCTAAATTGGAACCTGATTTTAAAATACAGAATACACGTGAATAATAACAATGTGCTGTTAGTTAATGCAGCTCAGCCAACGAACATTTATTTTTCATGCACAGGATGCGTAATATCTGTCAAGACACGAAACTTTCCTCCTTGGCTTCAGCTAGTCAACTCATTAAGCTTGTCGTGTCTTTGTCTTATGCATATAATGAGGATCGCTAAACACCGTATCTATTATGTGTCATGCTAATGTAGCGAGCGGCGTGACCTGTTAAGGCTAATGAACAATTTTGGGATATTCACACGTACTAGTGTCCAGGATACTTTTTGCGCAGTAAGTTCTATGAACAGCATCAAATACGTTTCAAAACAACAATATTAGTTTTATAATCAAGATGAAGCTGCTTGCCGGAATCTGTTGTGAGCTACTTAAATGTCATGTTTTGTTAAAAATTGTTACATTTTGAGGCTGTTAGTTTAAACGTAGGGCAGTCAAATTATTAGGGCAGTGAAGCAGCATTAAAGTGTCAACCTAACGTCCTAACTGTTCACGGACCATCTACTTGCATGAATAAACGTGTCTGAAAATACCATCGAAACCAATCTTTAATTAACTTAACTCTATCTAGGAATTTCGAAACCCGGAAACTTTGGGCCAAACTGTGATCGAATGAACAGTCATGGTCGATTGAATTCAAATGAAAACTAAATGAAGTTCTTCATCACATTCTTGCGAATGTTATCAGTTCCTCATCTTTGTTGCAAAAAGCTTGCACAAAGAATGCATGCGTGAAGTAGAGTGACACCCTTGAAAACCATAGATTAGTTCGTTTACAATTTCAAATGAATGTACAACCAAACGAATTTACGAGAATATAATTTTTTATTCGTATATTAAATGTTTCTGTTTATATGTCGGCTGATGCGCAGTGGCAGGTACGTAGCACCATACCAGCGCAGCACCATACCAGCGTAGCACCATACTAGCACAGCACCATACCAGCGCAGCACCATACTAGCATAGCACCATACCAGCACAGCACTATACCAGCATAGCACCATACCAGCGCAGCCCCATACCAGCGCAGCACCATACCAGTACAGCACCATACCAACTTCGTATATTAAATGTTTCTGTTTATATGTCGGCTGAAGCGCAGTGGCATGTACGTAGCACCATACCAGCACAGCACCATACCAGCGCAGCACCTTACCAGTGATGCAACATACCAGCGCAGCACCATACCAGCGATGCAGCCGCTACTGCCAGTCAGGCAGGTCACCGCGCTCGGGACGCTGGGCGCTTCCAAGGCCGGTCGGGCTGGCTGGCAGGAGACTCTACTCTGGCGCTAAGTTCACACTTAACATATGTTAACAAACGCATGACTGATCGCTGAAAGTTGAAAAGTTTATTATTCGTTCGTCTTTTTGCAACCTTTAATCGAATCAGCGTTTAAACGTGGATCGAGTTGCTAACCTCAATGGCAGTTACTGCAGTTAGAGAAACGTTCGCTTATTATTTAACACGATGGACGTCTAAGCTTATTAAATGCCGATGCATCGTGCGCAATATTTAGCTTTTTTAGATAACAAGTGAGATCCAGCTATAACAATTCTCGCAGGAAACTCTTCCAAAAATGTCAATGAAGAAATAAGCAATGAATACAATTATTTCCACACTAACTGAATTGATACAGGGGTCGCATCCTCTCAAGTAACTTCACTAGACAGCGAAATTACATCACTCGGCAATAGATGCAAGCAATGCACCGCCTGCAAAGTGCAAAGGGACCAGTGCAACGGATGTTCATGGGGAATGTCGCACCGCAGTACGTTTGCGACTACCTAACCAGACACCAGTTAGTTACCGGTTGACCTGCGACGTGAAGGGGTGGTGCATTGTCACAGCTGGCTCAACTATACTGTATCTGATTTCAGAGTTTCTCCTTGCTTGTGTCTTTCACGTTTTTGGCTGTGGTGCCACAATAATTCAACGTAGAAATATAGAACAACTGTAACGCCTCAGATTTCAGCGACATCATATGTTGATTAATGATAACTTGATGGCCATGTAAGCGTTCAGGTGTTAGCAGCATAAGCGACACAGGCACACAGACGAGATGTATTGTAGCTAAACAAAAGAAATAGGTATTTGATGTGGCATGATTCAATCATTGTCGATGACACGATAACTGAGTCGTATTCGTGAATGCGTAAGGCATTGAAAAAAATCTGTGTTGAAATGAAATGATTCGGTCTATAGATTTTTTTCGCTGATTAGGTTTCACTAAAATGTTTTATCCACTTACAGGTTACGTACCTCTAATGTGAATGTCCAGCGATTAAGCTACTCATTTTCACTATAGTCTCACTATCACTAGACACTAGTGAGCTGGCATATCACTTATCCGGGTATACCCCCCACAGTTATCTAGTACTTATTAATAGTTACGGAATTCAATGTTAGGAGCATGATTCGATTCTGCAAAACTTCTTAATAAACTCCAAACGTTAAAAATTTGCGATACGCTTATTCAGCGAGTATACATTAGCTATCGTTTTCAGTTCTATCGTCGACAGGATCCGATCGCCCATAGGCCAAATGAATGCCGTGTGCAATCTTGGTTAGATGAGTGTGAATGTAACTAAGACGATGTCGTTGGAGATGCGCCTTGTCTACCTAATTGGGGTATCCCTGAGCCGTTCCCTCGGCCTTGAGTAAAACCGGTGTTACAATCGTCGAACGTCGACGGGCTTCTCTTCGAGACATCGATGTCTCTGAGTGTGAAGTAACATTGCCATGAGCAATGACAATGTTAGGTACCTAACGTTACGAGTTAACGAGTAACGTTAACCTTTACGCATCACTATTTGTTATGAGACGTTTGAAAGAAACACAAAAAATGTAACAAAGAAGTGACTCCTTGGTGCAAACTCGGTCTAACTTTCAAGTATTATTTTGAAGTATTAACCAAATCTGTGGTCAATAACATAGGATGCTCTCTACTTTAACTGCTTGCTTGTTTCATCCTATTCCTCGGCAATAGATAAATTGTGTGTTTAAAATAACGTTGCAACTCGCAAAACCAAACTTGGGAAAGCTGTTATTTAATCACTGACCGGAAATGAAGTGGGTGTACCGGAAAGTCGTCATTGATAACATTTACATAGAATATTGGCAAACGAAACTACGATAAATTAATTCATCATCGTTTCTCATCAAGTATTAAGTTACAGCTCGATTTTTGTTATGCGATTTATTTGCTGAGTGACCAAACAAACAAAATCGTTGTCATCCATTTTGGAGGAACTCATTCCTGGCTGCAGGCATTCTTAGAAACACGGGCTACTTAGGTTTAAATTCCTTGTACTGACCAAATTCTTCCTGCTTTCGATACACGGTTGTGGTCAAGAGGGCATCGTTCCCACATGTTTTTTATATTGTACTCGTTATATCGAAGCGAAAGTAAATAATTTCAAAATATGTTTTTTGACGTAGTAACACAACTATTTTGTAGTGCAACAATGTAATGCTGTAAGTTAACATTCACTGTATATTATAAGAAAATTTATGAACTGAGCGAATCTGTAACCCGATTTGCATAGTTATCATAATTTATTATAATTGGACCTTAGTTATGTTAACTTATTATAATTGGAGTTTACCAATATCATCGAACAAATATGCCGGCTTGCCGTGTTTTGGTGAGAGTTGTGATGCTGTCCGGGGGCACTGACGATGACGGAGCTGGAGGATGAGTTTTCTCCGCTCCGAGCTACATCTGCTTCAAATTACGGGGTTAGCCTTATTCTTACTCTTTTAATAGTTATAAAAACTGAGTAATAAAAGTACACCAAATAATTTTTCTGAAGCGAAAATTTAAGGTTTATACTTAAGTAGGTATACACATTGTATCATTCAATAGATAATTAATAGAGTGAACATGCGTGACTAATGAAAGCGAACATAAAATAAAACTCAATGATTTTCACCGTATCCAGATTATGTTGTATTGCCGTGCAATACTTGTAATTTAATTTCAGGTGTTTTTAGCGCCATTGCGTGCTAACTGCATGCCACCGGCTTGGTAAATGCACTGCAGGTATTTCTTTTGCTCGCTTACCCTATGCGCTGACACGTACCTTGTATCTGCTGCGTAGTTTTGTACATTAGGAATCATGGAAAGTTCCCATTTGTATGTCAATAATATCTTTCGATTCACAATATAGAGTTGTTAAAATATGAATGATATCAATTGGATCTATGAGTACTTCCAGAAAAATGTCTTACAACGGAATGAATTTGATTTAATGCATTCAACCACAACCGATGATGCTAATGTTATGGAAGGAATATTCTAGTAGTCAGGAATATTTAAGGTTTCTTTGAGATTGGTGAGTGAGGACGTTCAACCGAACGTTTGCGGTACCAAACCTTCTCTGGACCAGTCTTTCCTAACCTCCATGACCTTACTGGCATCGCTGGTTCGGCCGAGGAACGTTCTGCGCCGGGCTCTGCCTCTCAAGAAAACAAGTTGCATTTTCTTCTTGTGATGACAAAGCAACTGTGTTGGCTGATGCTACTTAGCCACTGATTGACCGCTGGTTCATTGAAAACGTAGTAACTATTGAAGACTCGAATAACTGTAAACGCAAATTTGATTAAATAGTGAAATGTTTTTGAAAGTTTGGGGAAATTGGAACTTTAAAGGAGAGAGAACAATACTCGAGATGAAGTCACTTCGGAAGATTACACTGGATCCAACTATACATGCGTTAACTTCGGTATTGTTGTTTATTGGTGAAATGATTCACAACAAATTTTTTCTGTTTCAGATTATTTAGGATCAGATCCCTTAAATAATTAAAAAACATTTATGTAAATTTCTCCGCATCAGTAAGAATTTTTTCAAAATAAATTTTTGTTCAGACTTGGACTGAACTTACTACAACAATACATCATTATCTGATTCTTGTTTCGAGAAGTTATCTTTAGTATCTAACGATGAATGTGGAGGTTGAAAATTTTCTCACTGCTATAATTTATTGAAGCTGTTGTGAATAAAAAACCTCCGTTAGTTTCGTTTGATTATATTTGCGGAAATCAAATCTAGAATTATGAAGAAATTCGCATTTATACTAAGCATATCATCCTATCTTCTAGCTTACATACCACATATAGCGTCACAAAGCGGCACATTAGGAAACGAAACGATATCGTTCTCCAACAATACAACAGATTATGGCGGTGGCGACGAATACTACTCATCAGACGATAGTGCTATCGAAGGGCAGTGGAACAACACGAAAGAACTGGCACAGTGCGAGAACTCAACTTGCGTCCGAAAATGTTGTCCTGAGGGTCAATTCTTTTCTCTTCATGGTGACGCTTTCGGATGCATTAATAGCAGTGATGAAGTTCCTAAGTTTGAAGTACAGTTTAGATTCAAAGATGGACGTCCAACATACCCAGACAAGCCTCTTGAGTTGCTCACGGGAATGAAAGGCATGAAGCCAGGATGCACTCAAGGCGTTCTTCCTGAACACAGGAGGGCCGAACTCCTCAGTGACGGACAGCTGTACACCGCGTACGACCAGATCTTCCGCAACCACAGCGAGTATTGTCTCGACGTCATCCGTGAGTGCCATGGGTTTGAAGCAGGTTTATATTGGTAATTGAAAGTCCAAAGTGGTATTCCAATAATAATTGCGAGAAACAAACTACATGATAAAAATTATGCACCTATTATCATTGCTGATGTAACCTCTTAAGTGGAAACTAATGTGGCTCATCCATTATAAACTTGAATTTCTACCATGTACTTGAATCACCCGTTACCTGCTTTGTGAAACTAGACTTAGTATAGCTTTACTATAATATTTTGGGTGCAGGTGGCTCTGTGGTTATACTTCAGAGTTTCAGGATTGGAGCAAATAGGTGCGGGTTCGATCCCAGGCCCCAGCTCTCTGCAAAGTTTCTGGTCAGAATCGGCGATGAGGCCGGGCGGTTGAACACAGCAAAATTGAAGTACTTAGTTGCGTGTATGAGACCGCAACACGCTGTAAATGTTCTGTGATGTGGAAGATCGGCGACAGGTCCAACGGCCTAGTAAACACTGTAACCGCTATTGCATAGAGAGCTTGAAAGAGTGTATATATATAGATATATATTAGCTTGGCCTCGGGCTCTAAATATATGAATTCTGACAGGTCGCGACGACGAGCACTTCGGCATGTGGTATATCACGTGCTACGACGAGTACGAGGAAACTCCTCGCTCCATCTTCCGCTTCTACAGCCACTCGATCTTCCTGACGCTGTCGTGCGTCGCGTTGTCGGTCATCATCGTCTGTCACGTATCCCTGCCTCAGCTCAGGGACCTCTCTGGCATGTGTCTCTTGTCGCACGTCACGAGCCTCTTCGTCGCTGATCTTGCATTGGTCACCGTCACTCTGTGGCGATCCATCTCCGTCAACTTATGCGTATTCTTTGGTAGGGTGCTGGACGAATTTAAGCAATTCGGAAATTTTTTATTCTCTGTCTTATTCTATCCTTCTTCCCGATTTGATATATCAATTTAAAAGTTGATGATTTAGACATAATATTACAGCCATCTGGTCTAGGAATAAGAAAAGATTTATTACAATAACATTCTGTTCACCAGGAGTCGTCATTCATTCTGGCTTCATCGCAACATACATGTGGCTCACCATCATGTGCTTCGATATCTGGCGTTATGTTCGGTATGATTAGATACATTAAATGTAGTTTGTTAGGCAATTTAAATTTATATCTTCCAAAATAACATCTCCTGTTTCGAAATCATAATGAAATATTAAAAACGTTCATATCAATGTTTACATTTCTAACATTGATGTGCGGTGTATTCCACATTTCCGACCGTTTCATTCCAGGCTTAGCGTGAAAGGCATCCCGAGTAACCTGCTGCAGCAGGAAGAGAAGAGGCTGTTTGGGTTCTACAGCCTGGCAGTGTGGGGCTCAGTTCTGCTTATCACCATCGTCACTTGCACACTTCAGTTCTTGCCGAAAAATGCTCTCCCGGATTACATAATCAGACCACAGTTCGGCGTCAATAGATGTTTCATCATAGGTATAATTATTACAATACTATTGGAAAATGAGATAGACAATGAAAAAGCATTTTCTGTAATATGGGCGACATGTTATTTTTACTCCGTAATATCTGTTAGCGTTCAGCACAACACGATTAAATTCGATATTTTATGCTGATATTCATGCTGGTACCATTGATGTACTCAATTACAGAGGAGGATCACAATTTGTTGGTCTACTTCTTCCTCATCCTGGCCGTACTTTGCATCCTGAACATCTGCTTCGTGGGGATGACGGTGAACTACCTGTACCAAGGCGGAGCCAGAATCTGTTGTTTCCAGCGTTCCTTGGCGTGTGCAGACTCTGTTGTATTTAATAATAAGCAGCTCGATTTGTGAGTATAATTACTTAGATGATTCTTATTTGATCGTTTAAGTGAATCAGTAATCTATAAGCAGTAAATTGAATTGGTATGTAACTATGCGATGAAGGGCTCTTCTAACGAGGGAAAATAGATTCGAAGATACTAAATCGTATAAACTCAATTTCGTAATGATATTGGGCGATGATTAGATGAAACCAAAAGCCAATCGCCGCATTGAAAATTTACTTACTTTGGAATTCCAACGAACTTGATAAACCTTTTCCTAGGTTCTGGCAACGGTTCCAGATCTTCGTAATGACTATCTGCATCTGGTCGACTGAAGTTCTCTCATGGAAAATTCCTCCCAAAGAACTCTGGTGAGTAAATGAAATCGAAATTCTAAGAAAAAATTCCATAATTCTAAATAGTCTTGTCTCGTACGAAAGTAGTTTTATGTGCCTATCACGTTTAAATTGTCATTGGAATTTCTGTAACAATTCCGTTTTTGATTGAATGCTTAGGATAGACTGCAACTCGTTGCCATATGCAAATGTAACCTATTTTTTATACCCTTGTCACTTGACAGGGATGCAACGGATCTCCTCAACACCTTACAGGGAGTCATCCTTCTCATCATCTTCATGAGGGCCAAGCGAAAACGTGATTTAATTTTAACGCAGGTGCGCAAATTTGCCGGTATTGCCCATTCCGCAGCTCAGAAACTTTCGAGAGACGACGACACATCCATGACAAGCCTCGAAACACATCTCAGCAAACAAGGTAGCGATAAAGAAACCATCGACAAAATACGGAAACTTTCTCGTCAGGAAGAGACCGTCTCAAGCACCATCGTGAAGAGTCTGGCCCAAAGCAAGATTCTTGCCGAAGATGCGCGGTCGCCCCAAGTGCAGGACTGCTTAAAAATGAACCATTCACCTACGCAGCAAAATGCACTGCACCCTCCCGTCAACTGACAACCTGACTAGTTATTGATAATTGTCAACTGTAGCTTATTTGATGAAAGCAACCCTCGTAAGTTTAATATTTGGAAGTACTATAACGTATTAGTAACCGTAAAATATGTGAAACTGTCATAAAGTATTCCATGGATGTTGCGTTCAAATTTAGAGTCTTGGAAAATGTAATTTTAGTATATTTTTAGTATGTATTTGCTTAAAGCAGACAGTATTACTCTGAACTATGTTTGTTGTTTGAGTCAGAAATGCGCCTTAATAATCACAGTGCTTTCTGATATTTCACGAGCTGGTATCATTTTTTTCACTATGCGGAAAAATTTTGAATTTTTTTTGACTGTTGAAAAATGTAGAAAATAAAATAGACTGTGCAATAATTTTACTCGTGCTAATTTTACTAGCCTGTCAAATTACTTTTTCTATTTGCCTAATGCGGTATTATGTCATTGAAACATAGCATAGAGAAAAATTCTTTCAACTGTGAAAGCAAAACGCTTTTCATCCACTAAAAGTAGCAATGAAAGCTGATACACTCTCAACCAAGTATCATAATTTCGGAAGTTCTTCAGTTTTAAATGTGTTGCTGAGTAAGGGAGACAACCTTCAACACGCATTCGAAGTACGTAGTAATAAGTAATCTTTAAAATGTTTCTACAATAATTATATGATGGTGTGAATGGCTCAAGTATTGAAAAAGAAAGAAACGTTACTTAGGAGCGTAGGGAACTATGATGTACAAGTAATTTTACGACGAAAACAGTAAAAATGTAGGCTAACTTCTACCACGTATAATGGCTGTCAATAAATAGTTTTTTTTTTTTCTTAAAATTACTGAGTGGAAAACTGCAAAGTTGCTGAACGTCCGTTTCACACGCTGGTTAAACATGGTTCTTAAGTTAAATTGTTACATATTTATTAAGTATGTGCGTTTTATAGTTTTTTACCCGTTGATATTCTCTGAATAGAAGTGCCAAAATCAAGGGTTATATTATCATTCGTACCTTCTAAACCGTACTCTTATTATTAAAAAGGCTTAATTAATAATGAGAGTTAAAGAAATTTACCTTCAGCGATCGAGAAATGGGAACTGTTTAGGAAACTCTATTTTGGTGTATTATACGAAAGTGCGAAGTTCATTATGTTTGGACAACTTCGCGCTTGTCATATTTTGAAACATAACTTTTACATCGTCTATTCATCACGAGAAGAAAATAACCGATTTTCCTTTGAGTAGATTATTCACAGTTCGCAGTTAGTAGGAAATGTTATTTGGATTTACGAATCACAAGAACCATTACATCGCGCATGATAAGTTGACAAAACACACATGAAAAAAAATAACTTAAAATTTTCGAAGAAATTTTATTGGAATTTAGCACTCGTGGTAGAAGAACGCGGCAGCATGGTGTGCTTGCGCTATAGTGTGTTGGCCCGTTAGCAAGCACACCTTACAATAATTATTTGTTAACAGCAATATTCTTCATTCAAAGTTTTCATTTTATTCAAAGAATATATTGTGCCAGATGGTTATTTAAAATATGGTAAATTGTGTTTACCAAATACTATCGCCTGCATCTTTAATTCCTATCTTCTCGAGTTGCAATTGTTAATGCACAATATGGAATCTAATTCTGAGTATCTTAGGGCCTTTAGAGAAAAAGTTTGCCAACGTGCGCACTAACTTGCGTACGTGATTGCGTTGGTTGTTGCAGGCCATGTAGGGTATGTCATATGTGTGTCATTTAGCTCAATTGCATCTGTCACCGACCATAGCTGCTGCAAGTTAACTGAACATTATAGGGAATATAATTTACCACTGTCGCTGAGGCTGAGTTCAGGGGCGGGCGCTCCCAGCTCAAAGGCAAGACAATATATAAATTATTCCAGGCAACTGTGCTGTTATTTAACCTTCAATGCATTCCAAAACTCCCTGTCATCTGTCAGTAGCATGCCTGTTCAATGGCAATGGATTAAAATCATAAAGAACGGACCCTTAAAATGGTTTTCTAAACTCACTTTTGGTTAATATCTTAATTACACAAAAAGGATCAAATAGTTTATTTGGTATCACTTTTTGTTAACATTGTAATTCCGCAAAATTAAAATAGTTTATTAAGCTCAAGTTCCGACTAAAATCATTTTATTAAACGAGACGCTCAACTGTCTGTATTGCATAGCATTAAAGCACGTAATTCAGCGACTGCTCGTGAGTGACTGCTTGCTACATCACGACCAGCAGCGAATAAAGGATCATCTGTCGTGTGTATGACACGATTACTAGACGCATGCGGTCTCGAAAATTTTTGTGAGCAATAATAATAGTTTAGCAGATAACACATTTAACAATCCTACACGCGAATAGTTTGAGGCAAGTCAATTTTGGAACGTTATGGAGTGCTAATGTTGACGGTTCCTTACGTGCGATGTAGCAAGATCGTGGGCGTGTAAATTATGTTGAACTATGATTCTGTCAGATCCTATCACCAGGTATTAACTGTAACTCATAAGTTACGAGCACGTGCATATATTAACTATTTCCGCGGAGGGAGTGTCATACCATCAGAATGTCATGTTACTCAGAAGTTACGAGCCGTCCAAATTTTCTTCATACATATAAAGGCCGGTCCACACGTTCAGTTTTCACAACGATTTGCCTGCGCGTTTTAGGTACGAATGAAATCGTTGCAATTTTTAGAGCGTCCACATGGTGCCGACTTATCCGAGTAGTTTGCTCAGTTTTGCGCGATCTCGCCATGGAGACGTCTCGGACAAATTTACGGCCGGACTTGCGGCCGGTCTCCCCAAATTCGGTGAGCATGGAATATGCGCCTAGTTTAAAAAGAGATGGATCATTTAGGGAATTTATTCCCAATTATTTACGGTAAATGCTCCTCAACTTATTTTGCAGCTGTTACTCTGTTTGCGCTTTCATCGATTTCTTTGAATTTTTCTTAAGCCCTCGTATGTCTCCACCTTTTTTGTCCCTGTTACTATAGTCCACGAATTTTACTCGCCAAATGCAAGAAAAACTTTCGCATAGAAGAGCAATAAATTCCCGAGAACATTACGGAAGGTCCGCCATTTTCGCTAGAATCATTGAAACTGAGTACAACTTGAATCGGAAAACTGTTCTACCGTCCACACGTTCCGACTTGTCTGCGCAGTTCATCGAAATCTATACTCTGTAGTTAAATTTTGATGCAACTGCGCAGGTTTCCCGGCGGCTCCAAAACTGCGCAGTTTTCCCGTCCACACGCAACGTTTTAACTGCAACGATTAGAACTGCGCAGACAAATCGTTGTGTAAAACTGAGCGTGTGGACCGGCCTTAATAATAAGAAAGGTAGATTCACTATTTCTCTTGAATTCTACATTAAATAAGAAACCAAAATGCCTAACAAAATGTTAAAATTATCTCATGGTCTCCGATCACTCATTTATTCACGAATATCTCGCTCCTTAAGTAAACGGAATAAATTTCTTTTCACCTATACAGGCTCATTTTAAATTTTCTATGGTTGAACTAGTATAAGGTTGACCCATGAGAAGCCCATTTTTGCCAATGTGGTTTGTTGTTCGCCTGTGATGTCATTGATCTCAGTGACGTCACAGGCATTAACCATTCATTCGCCTGCGCACTCGAACGCAAAACCTAACCGCTCAGCTCGCCCATCCATAACTCCTTCAATACTAAACCGATTTCATTCAAATTTGAAATATAAGTAGGTATCACCAATGCGCTGTGACAGGAATTATTACAGATTTTTGCATAAATTTGTTTTTTATCAATATGGAAAAACTCAATGTTGGGGCAGCTCGTCCAGGCATAATTTTTTTAATAACAAATGAATACAATTGAAATTTCGAATATAAGTAGGTATCACCAGTGCGCTCTGATAGGAATCATTACAGATTTTACATCCATTTTTTCTTTATCAATATGAAAAAACACAATGTTGAGGCTGCTCGCTCAGGCTTATTTTTTCAATATCGAACGAATTTGCTTGACATTTGAAACTTAAGTATTAGTATTACCAATGTGCTGTGATAGGAATTATTACATATTTTTACATTAATTGGTTTTGATTAATACGGAAAAACGAAATGTCGGAGCAACTCACCCATTCATAATTCTTTCAATACTGAATGAATCGCCATGTTTATCGGAATATAAGCAGAGGTAGGCAGTAGCGCGCTACATGTAGCGACCGCTACTAGCGGCCGCTACATTTTCAGTAGCGGTAGCGGTAGCGTCCGCTACATATTTAAGTAGCGATACGAGGTTTTGCCGCTACAGCGCTATCGCTACATTCATAGATAAAGGCTTTAGATTTTACTTAATAATATTAAATATTATTTAAAAACCAGCATGATACATACATAATATAAATAGCAGAATAAAACTGTACGAGATATTTCGGTGTAATGTTGTCAACCTCAGCCTGTTACTAGTGTCAACATGTTAGTTGTTACAAGAGGTGGGCAGTAGCGCGCTACATGTAGCGGTAACGGTAGCGGCGCTACTATTAAGCAATTGTAGCGGTAGCGGTAGCGCCCGCTACATTTAGACTTTAGAGCATGTAGCGGTAGCGGCCGCTACATTTCAAAGTAGCGCTGCACACCTCTGAATATAAGTACTTACTGTAAATGCTTACTGCAAGTACTTATATTCCTGTTGTAAATGCTTACAGCAAGTACTTATATTCCTATAAACAAGGCGATACGTTCAGTATTGAAGGAGTAATGACTGTGCGAGCTGAGCGTTAAGTTAGGTTTTGCGATCGATTGCGCAGGCGAGTTTGTAAAAGTGTCGAATCGGTCAATACGTCATGGGAATGATCAAGTTGGGAATGATAACATAACATAGTGATCTCGGCGCTGAAGTGTAGGCCTGAAGCGGCCTGTTGACGATTCTTTTCCTTTTCGCGCCTTGTTCACAGAAGATCTAAAATCGTGTCATTTGACCGGATCTTTTCATGACTGACGATAGTTTGAAATAGCTACTAGACTTCCACCGGCAATTGTTTACGTTTCTTCATCCCAATGACGTAACAAGATAGCTGAACTGAAAGACGGATATCCTCGGGAGCCAACCTTATATGGTTCAAACATAAAATTTTCCCTCCTAGTATGACGTCTGACCGGATGTTGCATACGTAACGTATCGCTCGTCAGTTGATTTTCGCTCCCTTTTCAGAGCGCGCAGAAGCCTGCGTGTGCCTAACGCTGATTGGTTGAGTTGTGAATCACAAAAAAAAAAATCGGAGGTTCATCCAGTCTTTTTGACTTGAAAAAGAGTCTAGCTCGCGAACAATGATAAGGAACCACCAATGAATCTCGATTTATCTCATGTTAGACTATGGACATGGGTGTACGATGTAGATCGGTGTGCATTTTAAGAGGAATGTTTGAGAGAAATTATCTCAAGCGTAAATTAAAAAATTTTAAACTAATTTTTTTTTTAGGCGTAAATCATTTCAGCCATGGAAACAAGCCTCGTAATATTTATGCTCCGCCCATGGAGCTTCCAGCAGTTGACGGGGTTCAAGAAGTGCCGGTATCTCTCAGTCTAATAGTTAATATAGATGCATGTCAATATGATTGCCATGATTATGAAGGATGCTACTTTTTGATGTTGCAATCTAAAAATGAAAATAGAGTCGTTCAGTAGGAGTGCTCTGTTTATTAGTACTTACCTTGTTTCGGTGCCCCGGTTTATTACATTCGATTGACAATTGTATACAAAATTATTCGGATGCAATTGGTAAGGTTACGTAGTTGGATTTGCTAATCACGAGCTCCAAATGTTTTCCGTGCCGTGGACACGTTTCTATATACTTTTGAATATTAATAATTTTAATCGTAATATTATGTTGCATAAAATGCATATTTTTTACTATATTTCAGGATATTTTGTTTATCTCATTATAATTTGTTGTGAGCTACTTAAATTTCATTTTTTGTTAGAAATTTTTACCTTT